GTCAATCATGGTGCTGTGTCATGGAGACTTGGGGTCTCCTGGCCTGTCAATCATGGTGCTGTGTCATGGAGGGCAGGACAGATTTGGGGTCTCCTGGTCAGTCAATCATGGTGCTGTGTCATGGAGACTTGGGGTCTCCTGGCCTGTCAATCATGGTGCTGTGTCATGGAGGGCAGGACAGATTTGGGGTCTCCTGGTCAGTCAATCATGGTGCTGTGCCATGGAGGGCAGGACAGATTTGGGGTCTCCTGGCCTGTCTATCATGGTGCTGTGCCATGGAGACTTGGGGTCTCCTGGCCTGTCAATCATGGTGCTGTGTAATGGAGAGGACAGATTTGGGGTCTCCTGGCCTGTCTATCATGGTGCTGTGTCAGGGGGGTCTCCTGGCCGCCTAAACCAATTTGTCTGTTTACGGTCAGAGACGCTCGGATCTTCCCAATACAGCCAACGGTGATGTAATTACATTGCTGTTGGAATTGAGCATTAGCTACCAATGGGGAAGTTCCATGACACGGGGGGGGGGACACACACAATGGGGAGAGGACACAATTGTATCTTTTAGGACTCTACCTGTAAATTCAGAACAAGACAATACAGAGCCAAACAACAACTATAACAGAAACATTTCTCATTAACAATGAATTGGGTTTTATCTATTATTAATGAGATCTTCTTCTGTTATCAGCTATAGATGAACATTTCCCACACCCACAATGAAAAGGTTCAGTGGTAATTGTACTCGGGTCACATGACGTCTGGAAGGATACAGTCAGCGAGCGTCACGTGGTCCTTAAATATTGTGTACCTGCAACCAAGACATGACCATTAAACACACAATCATTTCTAGGTCCCCGTATATAGAATGTGAAGTTCTCCGGAGCTCACCATTTCTTCAGCACGATCTTGTCCCACCGCGTGCCGGTCTGAGCCGCGATCAGTTTCTTCAGGTCTTTGATGGTGTCGTCGTTGCTGGGAGGCGGAGTCAAGGAGTCACCACAACCAATCGTTCCAGAGACAGCCGCACCGCAGTCTACTGACAACAGAAGTTTGAAAAAGAAAGTACACCCTCTACGGTTTTAAGTAGGGATGCACTGATATCGGTATTTTGGTACCGAGAATTTTTTTCCAGTACTCGCCGTTGCCAATGACTGAGTAACGGAAGTCCCATTCAGGAAGCCAGGTGGCGTTTAATGACTCGCCACCCGGCTTCCCGATTAACAAGAAAGCCCTCTCTCACCTTGTCCAGCCTGTCACCCCCGGGGCCTCTCCAGCCAGAACACGGCCTTCCTCCACTACCTAGACGGCCAATCAGGAAGCTGGGCGCCGTGTAATGACCCGACGCCCTGCTTTCTGATTGGCCGGGAGGGCGGCTCCATGCTCCCTCGTCATCTCATGTACTCGTCCAAATGCTCCGATGCCGAGCACGAGGACTTCCGGTATCAGGAAGCCGGGCAGCGTGTAATGATGCGGCGCCCTGCATTCTGATTGGCCAGGAATCTGGCTTCATGCTCTCTCTCATCACAAGTGACGAAAGAGCATGGAGCCGCTTCCCGGCCAATCAGGAAACCGGGCAGCGTCTAATGACGCAGCGCCCGGCTTCCTGATACCGGAAGTACTCGTGCGCGGCATCGGAGCATTTGGGCGAGTACGAGTACTCACTCAAATACTCAGTATCTGCGCATACTTTTTTGTACTTGTCAATACCGGGCACCGACTACGGTGCTTCCGCTGTCATGGAGTTCACGGGCAATCTGATTGCCCGAGAAGTGGTCTCCATGTTGTCTGGCCGGCTTCTGATTGCGCTTGGCTGGGAAACCGGCTTCCCAGCCAAACCATCATTGAGCCGGCATCCCGGCCAATCAGGAAGCCATGCGGTGAGTGATGGCCCGCCTTCCAGCCTCCCGATTGGCCAGGAAGCCGGCTTGCCGAACAATCAGGAACTCGCCGTACAGCTTCCTGATCGCACGAGAAGCTGGATCCATGTTCCCCTACGGCACTGCTGGTCAGAGGAAATCTTCCGCTGACCACAAGTTCCGGTATCGGAGCATTTGGGTGAGTACAAGTACACGCCCAAATACTCGGGTATCGGCATCAATGTCCACAATCATGAATGAACGCGAAGTGATGTAGAGCACTTCCTGTTCATTCATAACTGGGGACACAGTAAACATACTATATCCACAATGTATTCAATAAATGAAGGTGGTTCTACAGGACAATCATGAGTGAGGTGTACTTAGTTTTTCACACCTGGATTAAATAAATAATGACACGGTGTAATATGTGTTGTTGGTCACCTGAGGTCGGATTTACCTCATTCTAAAGGTCCCCACACACCTTACGATAATCGTACGATAATGGCGGGAAATCCCGCGATCGTACGATTATCGTAAGGTGTGTGGAAGCCGTGCGACCTCTGCTACTGTACGGCCGCACGACTTTGAACTTACGGACATGTTCGAAAACCCGCCGAGCGTCGTACGAAGTTCGGCGGGTTTGCGGCATGTCCGTGCGATAACAGCCGTACGGGCCGGTGTGCGCAAGCGCACACTGCCCGTTCGCCATTGCGGTCATCGGAAGCCCGCCCCTCAGGGGGCGTGGCTTGCCATCATCGCAAGTACGATCTGCCTATGCAAGATGGGCAGATCGTACGTTTTTTTAAGTACCTTACAACCAACGCAAGACAATAGTCCTACAATGGTTGTAAGGTGTGTGCCCAGCCTTAGACCCGCCAAGGGTCAGATGATTCTCGTTATGTCCTGATATGTAAAAGCACAGAAGTCACAGAGGGTGTACTTTCGTTTTTCAACACAACTGTACCAGCAAAAATGAACCCAATTACTGAACGGAAATTAATCTGAAGGCGCTCTGTGTTGGATTTACATCACCCGCAGCTTTCTACCCCGCCACCTCAATCATTTTACAGTTAGAGGATTTTTATTTTGCCTTGTCCCCCCCCCCCCCCCCCTTTTTTTTTCATTCCTTTTTTTTCTCCCCTC